TACGTAACTCAGAATTGAACCAAGGAGCCAGTTTCCTCTGATTGATTACTTTCTTTTTCAGTGGAGCAATTTTATCAAGTGAAGTTTGCATTGAAGTTGTAAGATGATCAACTAGATGATCTAAGTCTCTGTTCTCTGATGCATTACTCTGCAAGACAGAGGAAAACATTGATGGAAGAGATTGTTTAAATTTGGTTACAGCATTTTCTGATAAGCACCTGCTGAGATGAAATTTACTCTCAGTGACTGTGTAGTCATTTAATGTAAACTCAAAGGTTATTAAAAAATGGTCGGACAGGATAGGATTTTGTGGAACTATTACCAAGTCCTTAATCTCTATACCATAGGTCAGAACTAAATTAAGAGTGTGATGATAAGAATGAGTAGATGTGCGGACGTTTTGGGTAAAACCAAATGAGTCTATTAAATTATTAAAGGCTATGCTTAAACTATCACTCTAACATCCACATGAATATTGAAATCACCCATTATGATGATTTTATCAGTATTTAATAGTAAGTCGGTTAATAATTCTGAGAATTCAGACAAAACTGAGAGTAAGCGCCTGGTGGACGATATATAACAACTAGTAAAAGTGGCTTTTCTGATTTCCATTTTGGATGAGAAATACTGAGGGACAGTGATTCAAAAGAATCATAACTAATAACTGGTTTGGCATTAATCAATAATCCTGACTGAAAAATAGAAGCTACTCCTCCACCTCGGCCAGTTGTTCTAGGAACATGAACATTTAAATAATTAACAGGAGTGGATTGATTTATACCAACAAAATCCTCCTGTTGTAGCCAAGTTTCTGTCAGACAGAATAAACCAATATGATGATCAGTTATCAGTTCATTAACTAACAGGGATTTAGAGGAAAGAGATCTGATGTTCATTAATCCACATTTAATGATTTTATGATTTTGCTTTGGTAAAGTAACTGTGTTTATTTTAATCAGATTTTTATGGTTTATATTTTTAGAGCTGATTTTTGGTTTATTTAATTTGAGCCGTGGGCGAGTTGACACTGTTTCAATGTGGGTGTGGGTGGGTAACAGAGGAGAAGCAGCAGAGAGGTGGAGGACTACACCTCTGCTTCCTGGACTGGACCCTGGGTTGTCATTAATTTGGGGGATAAACAAAATCAGCCATATTTCTAGAAAGAAGAGCGGCTCCGTCCAAAGTGGGATGGATGCCATCTCTCCGCATCAGACCAGGTTTTCCCCAGAAAGAACTCCAGTTATCTATGTAGCCCACGTCATTGTCAGAACACCACCTGGACACCCATCGGTTAAACGATGACATACGGCTAAACATGTCATCGCTGGTCAGGTTGGGGAGGGGGTCGGAGAAAACTACGGAGTCCGACATGGTTTTAGCAAAGTCACACACCGAAGCAACATTAATTTTAGTGACCTCCGATTGGCGTAACCGGGTGTCATTATCGCTGACGTGAATAACAATCTTACTGTATTTAGCCTTAGCCTTAGTCAGCAGTTTCAGATAAGATTCTATGTCGCCCGCTCTGGCCCCCGGAATGCATTTGACTATGGCCGCTGGAGTCCCTAAAGCCACGTTTCGGACTATGGAGCTTCCAATAACCAGGGTCTGTTTCTCAGCGGGTGTGTCACTGAACGAGGAAAATCGATTAGAAACATGAACGGGTCACAACCCATCGCTCATGACCATAGATGAGGGTAGGAATATAGATCGACAGGTAAATCGAGACCTTCGCCTTTTGACTGAGCTCTCTCTTCACCACGACAGACCGGTACAGCGCCCACTTCACTGAAGACTCCGCACCTACCTGCTTATTATTATTATCCTGTTAATTTCTTCTCTTCTGTTGTGGTTGTTTTGGGCTGTTTTTTTACAAACAGCATATAGGCAGATGTTCGGTTTGGCTGCAAATGTATTGGTGTCTGTATGTTTTCTGTTAAGTCTATCATACTCATATCAGGTCTCTCTTGTAAATGAGTCCTCGAGGCTCAATGGGATTTACCTGTCTAAATAAAGGTTGAATGAAAAAATACTGCCCGGTGTATAAGCCACTACTTTTTTCACAGGCTTTGAACCCCACAGCTGTGGCTAAGAAATTGATTTTTATTTTTATTTTTTGTGGGGGAGGGGCTAACGAGCTTCCTGCCACCAAAAACATTTAGCTTTGTTACACCCGGGCGCTCCCATAGCTGCCCAATATGTGTCTTTCTTGGGGGTGGGTCTTTGTGACTTATTTTTACTGTTTAATGTACAGACAAAGTGTTCACTCCTCCAAAGTCCATGCTCAATAATCTAGGTATAAAATCCAACATTTTTCAGTCGGGTCATCTGGACAGATTATTTTTTTGTGCTGAAAGTAAGTAAGAAGTAAAAAAAAGACACTGTCCAGATGACCTGACTGAAAAATGTTGGATTGTATACCTGGATTATTGAGCATGGACTTTGTTGTTTTCAACCAGTTTGACACGACTGTCAAGAAGGATGAGGGCCGGCAATGGAGGAGGGGGCGTACCAAAAAAAAACATCTTAGCACCAACAAAACTGGTTTGTTCCACTTTGGAGTAAGCTGTTGGGAGAAGAATCAGTTTTGTGTTGTGTGTTTCCTTGACTGATGAAGCCTTCTGGATCAAAGGCAAAACGTTCCAGCACAAAAAAAGAAACTGTCCAGATGACCTGACTGAAAAATGTTGGATGTTCACTCCTCCCCTCTCCATTTCAATGGTTCGACTGTGACCTGTTCAGTAATTTCTTTGGTCAGTTTTTTTAACCTTTTTTTATACAATCATTGCGTAGTATATTATATAGTAAATATAGTCTCATCAGTACACGTCTCTCTTGGGGTGGTGTACTTGTGACTCATCGAGACTACCTCATTTGTTCACTGTGGTTGACTGCTGGTCACGTGATCACTGAAGACTCCGCACCTATCCACTTATCAATCTCTCACTCCATTTTTCCCTTATTTGTGAACAAGACCCTGAGATGCTTAAGCTTGGTTAAGCTTGGCTTCACTTGGCACAGGCACTGTACCCTTTTCTGGCTCACGACCATGGTCTCGGATTTGGAGGCACTGATCCTCATCCCATAGGGCCTAGTACCCCATACTCCTGGAGTAGCCTCCACAGGGTTCCCTGAGGGACGTGGTTGAATGCCTTCTCCAAGTCCACAAAGCACATGTAAACTGGTTGGACAAACTCCCACGCACCCTCTAGGACCCTGCTGAGGGGTGTCGAGCTGGTCCAGTGTTCCACGACCAGGACGAAAACCACACTGCTCCTCCTGAATCCGAGGTTTGACTATCCAATGGACCCTCCTCTCCAGAATCCTTGAATAGACCTTACCAGGAAGGCTTAAGAGCGTGATCCCCCTGTAGTTGGAACACACTCTGTGGCTCACAGCTCACCTTTTTGAATAGAGGAACCACCACCCTGGTCTCCCAATCCAGGGGAACTGCCCCTGATGTCCACGCAATATTGCAGAGTTGTGTAAGCCAACAAAACACCACAACATCCAGAGCCTTATGGAACTCTGGGCGAATTTCATCCACCCCTGGGGCCCTACTACAGAGGAGCTTTATAACCACCTCGGTGAACTCAGAACTAGAGATTGGAGAGCCCGACCCAGAATCCCTATGCTCTGCTTCTTCAGTGGAAGATGTGCTGGTGGAATTGAGGAGGTTTTCAAAGTACTCTCCCCACCGACTGACAGCATCCTTCACCGGCGAAGTCCACCAGTGTGTTCAAGGGTTACCGCCATGACAGGCATGACGACCTTGTAGCCACAGCTTGGATAAGCCGCCTCGACAATGGAGGTGCGGAATATGGTCCACTCAGACTCAATGTCCCCCTCCTTCCCCTGAATATGTTTGACGTTCTCCCTGAGGTGTGAGTTAAAGCTACCTCTCATGGGAGACTCTGCCAGACGTTCCCAGCAGACCCTCACAATAGGTTTCGGCCTGCCAGGTCTAACCGGCATCCTCCCCCACTATCGGAGCCAACTCATCACCAGGTAGTGGTCAGTGGACAGCTCTGCCCCTCTCTTCACCCAAGTGTGCAAGACATGCAGTTGCAGATCAGATGAAACGATGACAAAGTCGATCATCAAACTGCTGCCAAAGGTGTCCTGGTGCCAAGAGCACATATGGACACCCTTATGCTTGAACATGGTGTTTGTTAATTACAATACATGATGAGCACAGAAGTCCAATAAAAGAACACCACACGAGTTCAGATCACGGGGGCCGTTCTTCTCAACCAAAGCCCTCCAGGTCTCACTGTCATTGTCCACGTGAACATTGAAGTCCCCCAGCAGAACAAGGGAGTCCCTAGGAGGGCACTCTCCAGTAGGGCTGTGTGATATGGCTCAAATATAATATCATGATATTTCAGAGCATTCTGACGATACAATACATTTTGGGACATAAAAAAAAACAAAAAAAAAAAAAACAGAAATCATAGTCATTTCATCCATCCATCCATTATCTTTTACCCGCTTCTTCCATTTTGGGTCATGGGGTTTGTCTGTACGCATGTCCAACAATCACTGTGCGATGGGCAGGGTGTACCCTGGACATGTCGCAAGTCCATCACAGGGCCACATAGAGACAAACGAGACAAACGACCGTTCACTCTCTCACTCACACCTAGGGGCAATTTTAGAGTTACCAATCAGCCCAACATGCATGTTTTCGGTCTGTGGGAGGAAACTGGAGTACCCAGAGAAAACCCACGCATGCACGGAGAGCACATGCAAATTCCACTCAGAAAGGCCCCTGGACTGAGATTTGAACTGGCAGCGTTCTCGCTGAGAGGCAGAAGCTCTACCAGTTGCACCACCGTGCTGCCTATCATAGTTATTCCTTTGACAAAATTAATTTAACATGTTGCTTTGCAGTATTATATAAAAACTGAAAAAACAACAAGGGTTAATTTTACTGCAATTGCTTTATCTAGTAAAGTATTCAGTCTCAAAGTATAAAAATACAAAAGGTCCTTCTGTTATTTAGATTTAAAAAGTCGGCACAAAATATAGATCAACAAAATCCACCACAAAACTAAAGTGCAGGTGCAGTTCCCCAAATAAACTAAATAAAATTAAAGCTTAAGATCTGTTGAACATAAATTCAATTCAATTCAAATTCAATTCAATTCAAAAATACTTTATTAATCCCAGAGGGAAATTATTTGTTGTAGTAACTTGTTGTCCTCATTTCATTAAGAGATGTTATAGATACTGATGGCTGTAGGCAGGAAGGATCTCTTGTAAAGGTCCATCCCACAGTGGATCCTAAGAAACTGGCTGCAGATGCCGTCCGATCCGTCCACCCAGACTCTGCTGACCTCTCGGTTCCCCAGGCTGTAGGACCGCCCGAATGTCAGGCAGAACTCCTCCCAGAGTGATGGCCACTCCTCCCAGCAGTCTGCCGAGCTCCTCGTCGCTGCGGACAGACAACTGTAGGTGCTGAGGGGCGATCCTGTCCTTCCACTGTCATGGTCCATGTTTCCTGCTAGTTCCAGGATCTCAGTGGTCAGGCACTCGAGCACAGCTGGCAAGTAGATGAGAATGCGTCCACAGAACATCCTTTCAACTCATTTGAGATGTGGGGCTGTAGTTGAGATATTATTTGAGCTTTTGAGATGTTAATCAGCTGCTGTTGGTTGTAGAAAACTGCCTTGTTGCCATGGTTACGCATCATAACAAATGTCCAAAACTAAAAAAGTTTCAGTAAAAATCCTTCCAGCTGCACAGCATCTGATACCAGAGGAAACAATCATCCAAAAAATGTGATCTACATCCAGCAAAAGAGGAATTAAAGTTTCCAAAAGCAAAATCTCAGAATGAAAGTAACAGAGCTGCTCCAACATGCAGCCACCTTGAGCGGCGCAATTCTAGAACAGAATTTTGGAATGTAACCTACAACAAAATATATGTTGCCTTTAAATGAGGTATAACTTCTAAAACTTGTGACAAGGTGTCTTCAGCTGACCCTGAAGCTTGTGGTGTTTCAGCTTCCTCTATTCCTGCAAGAATGATTCTATTTCGCTGATGCTCTGTCTTTCATCACCTGCCTCTTTTCTTGGTCCATGGACTGACTGTGGAAACGTGGCTTAAGAGACACAGCTGAGCTGCGCGTTTGTACCGGCAGTTTAGAGCACGGTTCTGTTAACAGGGTGGGGTGCCCCATTTGTATAATGGTAGGGAAAACACTGAGGTATTTACGTCATGAAATGAGCATATCATTATATAATTTATTTTCCCGGGCAAGCTTTTTTTTACTGGTATTATTGTGAACAATATGATATGGCCCAGCCCTACTCTCCAGTACCCCCTCCAAGGACTCCAAAAAGGGTGGGTAACCTGAACTAACGTTAGACGCATAAGCACAAAACACAGTCAGAATCTGCCCCCCCACACGTAGGTGAAGGGAAGCTACCCTCTTGTTCACCGGGGTGAACCTCAATGTACAGGCACCAAGATGGGGGGCAACAAGTATACCCACCCCTGCTCGGTGTCTCTCACCAGGGGCAACTCCAGAGTGGAAGAGTGTCCAACCCCTCTCAAAGAGACTGGATCCAGTGCCGTGCGTTTAGGTGAGTCTGACTATTTCTAGCCGGAACCTCTCAACCTCACACACCAATTCAGGCTCCTTCCCCACCAGAGAGGTGACATTCCACATCCCGAGAGCCAGCTTCTGTAGCCAAGGATTAGACTGCCAAGATCCCCTGCCTTTGGCCACCCACATTGCACCCGACCCCTTTGGCCCCTCCCATGGGAAGGGGGACCTACGTCTCCTCTTCAGGCTGTGCTCAGTCGGGCTCCATGGATGAAAGCTCGACCACCAGGCGCTCACCAGCATGCCCCACCTCCAGGCCTGGCTCCAGAGTGGGGCCCTGGTGACCCAAGTCCGGGCGAGGGAACATTGTATGTGGTTGTACTCATCATAGGGCGACTTTGGGCTGCACTCTGTCTGGTTCCTCACCTAGGACCTGTCTGCCTTGGGTGACCCTACTAGGGTCATGAAGCCCCTGACAGTATAGCTCCTATGATCATTGGGACACTCAAACCCCTCCACCACGGTAAGGTGGCAGCCCAGGGAGGGCATTTTAAACCAAATATTACACAGCACTTATGGCCGCTGGAAATTCCTCAAAATGCCTATTGATGTCTGAAATGAAAATGCCTGAAAATGTCATGTTTTTAAGGTTTGAGTAGTGCTGAAACGTGAAGTCCTCAAACTGCTGAACATGACTTGAGTGGAAACTACAATTTGATATATTTGTTCAAACTGCAGAAAGCAGCTAATGAGTTTGTTATTGCTTCATGTCTGATGTTCTGATATAATAACAGTTGTGAACACCAAAAATTTCTTGATACAACATTAAGTTTTTGTTTTTGTTCTGTAGGTCTGATGCTGAGATGAAGGATTCCCTGCCAGTTAAAGCAAGTGATTTTTCCTTTTAACTGAAACCTGTTGTTGTTCCTTGTCTCAGAGTATGCGCGTATGAGATCGAGAGAGATCTTATTCTTTCGGTCACTACCCAGAGTTTGTGACCATAGGTGAGAGTAGGAAGTTAGACTGACCGGTAAACAGAGAGCTTTGTCTTACAGCTCAGCTCGCTCTTCACAGCAACATAATGGCACAGAGTCCGCAATACTGCAGATGCTGCACCAATGCGTCTGTCAAGCTCGCGCTCCATTCTTCCCTTACTCATGAACAAAACCCAAGATTCTTGAACTCCTCCACTTAGGCAGAACCTCACCCTCGACCTGAAGAGAACAATGGTAAATGGTAACTGTATTTATATAGCGCCTTTCTATCTTATCCAGATACTCAAAGCACTTTACACTACAATCTGTGCCCTCATTCATACAGCACTCTGCAAGAACTCTACAAAGCTAATTGAACAAATCATTCTAAAGAGACTAATCAGTGCTTTGAGATCACATTCATACACCGATGGGACACACATCGGAGGCAATGAGGGGTTCAATGTCTTGCCCAGGGACACTTTGCCATGTGACTGCTGGTGGATTCGAACCCCCCAACTCTTGTATTGGAGGACGACTGCTCTAACCATTCAGCCACAGACGCCACCCTTTCCCGACTGAGGATCATGGCTTCATATTTGGAGGTGCTGATTCTCATCCCAGCCACCTCACACACAGTTACAAACCGCTCCAGTGAGAGCTGGAGATGTGGCATGTGACTACCGTCTAATCTACTGGGAAAAACTCCAGCACACAGGCACCAATTCGGGAGGCTAAAAGTATACCCACACCAGCTTGGTGCCTCCAGAGTGGAATAAGGTCCAGCTCCTCTCAAGGAGATTGGTTCCAGAGCCCATGCTGTGCGTCAAGGTATCAATGTAAGCCCAACTATATCTATTCGGTACCTCTCAACCTCAGGCTCTTTCCCCGCCAGGGAGGTCACATTCCATGTCCCAAGAGCCAGCTTTTGTAAGCCAGGGTCTGAGTGCCAAAGCCCCCACCTTCGGCCACTGCCCATGACGTCATGCATCTGACTCTTATGGCCCCCTCCTGCAGGTGGTGGGCCCACAGTAAGGCAGGCCATGTTGCTTTATCAGGCTGAGCCCGACCGGACCCCATGGGTAGAGATCCAGTCACCAGACGCTTGTTGACAAGCTCTTTTCCCTGGCCTGGCTCCAGGGTGGGGCCCCTGCAACCCACGTTGGGTCAAGGGAGACTGTGCTGATTTCTGTCCATTTGAGTCTTCATAATTTCTCTTTGTCTGAGCCAGTCTGCCTTGAGAGACCCTACCAGGGGTAATTACAATTGTCCCCAACAGCATAACTTCTAGAATCATTCGTAAGGATAAGGTGGTGATTCAAGGAGGAGCTTAAAAGTATTGTTTCTTCAAATAATTAGGGTGGCCAAAGATGAATCTATGGTGACCCACTGTCCACCCCAGGTGGACCAGATCACATGGGATTGGATAAAATTGCCCCCTCCGCTTGCCTGGATCCATCAATCTGTGCTGCCTTGAACAAGCCAAAAAAAAAACCTCTGTTCTTCTCCACAGTGTAATCCTACCCACTTGAATATCAACAAAATCATTAAGTTTACTTGCATTTCCTGTTTAATTCCAGTCTAGAAAAACACTTATCGGGAAAACTACAAACATTCACTGTTCAAATCCCTCAGCAAAGGGGCATCACCATATCACTTGTTTAATCAATGACTGATTTAACGTTGGTGTTTAAAATGGCTCCTGATTTAAACAAGAGAAAGACTAGTATTTTTTTTTTTACCATTTGTATAGCAGGAAACAACAGTTTCAGCAGATCACCGTTTACAAGAGGAGGTGGTTCATAGGTTAGAGGTGGAGAGGATCCAGCTTCACAAAGACCTGCAGCATTGCTTTCATGAGATTCAACCGCAAGACCAGTATATCCAGCATCTTAACTCCAAGGTATGAAAGAGCTGAGGTGGAATTGTACTAATGACTAAGCTTTGTTGAAAAATTTCAGAAAAATAAAAGAATGGTTTCTTCTCCATCTTTCTTCATGCCCCCCCTGACCCCACCACCACCACACAAACACATACACCTCCTCTACAGCTGCAGCAGGCAGTCGAGGAGAAAGCTACTATTGCAGCTCAGCTGAGGTCTGTTTCCCAATCACTACGGGACACCCAGGATCGCTGCCACTGGCTGGAAAGTCAAACCCCAGGCCAAGTACAGGTAACAGGTCCAAAACGCATTCAAATGAGGCAGGTTGTTTCTATCCAGCTACAGTATCGGCATTCTAACTGCTCCACACAAACTCACTTAGAAAAAAACGGAACTATTTCCTGAAGTTGACTGCATCAGTTGAAATTAGGGATGTATTTAAAGTAGGACTGCACAATACATCTCAAAATGTCCTTGTAATGTCAGTGAGCAGAATATGAATATAACAAAAGAACTGCTTAGATCGCGGGCAGCATGGTGATGCAGTTGGTAGAGTAAGGTGACCAGATTTCTGAAGTGAAATCTGGAGACATTTCCAGCTCAGAGACCAATCCCATACACACTGCTCTTTGAATTGAGAAAGCTTCTCAGATGAGAAGTGAAACGTCTTCTGTTACAGAGTCCAGTTGTTTTTGTCTAAAACGTTTTTGAATTCATCATGTCCTGGATGACTGAGAATCTTCACCAGCATATTGCTAAGCATTTTGGGAAGGATCCCCTAGGAGCAGTGTGGGAGTTTGAGAAGATGTCAAGGAAGCTTGCAGACTAGAGGATGACACAGGGGTGGATTTTCACTCCTGTCTGTCCTGGTCCTACGGAAAAAATCCTGTCCTGTCCCACTCCTGGTAACATGACTCCTGCTCCTGTCCTGCTCCTGTTTTTTTCTCTTCATTTAATTTTTAGGAAATACATTGAATTTGATTTGATCTTCTACCCATTCCTGTTTAAATTACTTTGTGTTGTGCAGTTTTATTTCAAAACATATGGCAACAGGAACAGTTCATCTGTGGTGAAATAGAGACATTTATTGTTTTAATCCAAACAAAAACCTTCACTAAACGTCACAAAACAAATAATCCATGGCCTGTAGTCCATATAAGTTTTCTACAGAGGATCAGCTGCTGAGTCCTTGTTTCTGGCTCTTTTGAAGGTCAGTTACAGTAAAAACAAAAAATCTAAACCAGTCCATGGGTCACACCATGTCTACCTTAGATGAAAGAACCCAAACAGAACAAGTTGCATTTGACTAATTTATTGAGCAATTGTTTCCTTTAAACAGTGACATCACTGTCATGTTTTAAATAGTTTAAACAAACAAACAAACAAACAAAAAAAGAAAAATAATGTACCATGCAAGAGAACAAATAAAAATGTTTAAAGGCGTTATTATACATTGGACGACGTCCTCAAGAAGTTCACATTCTATGTGGTCGAGGTAACGAGCTCGTTTGGGTGAAGCATGATGTCGTGCATCTTCCCAGACTTCAGAGCATCATTTACAGACTGGACCATTGCAGGTCTGGTGTTCCACCTCATCTCTCCACAGCTGGACCAGTCCAGAGCCTTGTGGAACCTAAAAGTGAAAGACGACAGTGCACGAGTCAAAATAGTGTTACAGTGACTACAAGTTACAATTTGTTGGCCTTTCTTCTGGAAAAAAAAACGTTTTATCAAAAACAAGAGATTTACAATTGAAATTAAGTCAAGAAAATGTGACATTTGCAATTATAAATTACAGAAGCTTAATTTTTCTTTATTTATTTCACTTATCATATTTTATAATTATTTAATGAGCCTCACAGGCAGAGATTACAAGATTTTATGTATCTTACCTGCTCTGTTGAAGTGTGTGACAAGAGTCTTTGTGTCCAAAGCTGTTTAACACTTTGCTTCCAGAGCTAACAGCTTCCTGTGTTAGGTAGAACAATTAAATTAAATTAAAGACAAACAAAAAGCTTAGTGCTACTTCTTGTTGTGACATGCTTTATAAAACAGTTGTTGAATCAAGTATTTACTTATGTAGGTAAACATAGATGTTTTAAACCTGTTAAAATACACCAGAATGCAGGAAATAGCAGCTGCTTTATTCAAAAAGTTATGGGGGAGGACCCACAGACCTCGCACCAATATGTCCCCCCTACAATAATTCTAATGACACATCTCAAACCAGGAGCCATTGTCCACAGTGGGGGGGGGGGCTAAGACTCCTAAAAAGGGCTCTAGAATCGCCCCTGGTGTGAAGAAATGAACTGAGAAAAATCAACTCTTGGCCTAAAATTTAACACAACAGCATAATTGTACACATCATATCTTAAATCTAAAACTAAAACACTTATTATAATATTTATGTAACCAGTCTTTCATATAAAAACTGGGATATTTTTACAAAAGAATGCTTTCACTAACGAGTTTGTTGTACTGACATGGTTACAGCCGACAGTAACTATTTACACAATAAAGTGATGGTTATTCATGTTTTCCTCCATTTCAGTATCCAGCAGGACGTCATAATATAAAAATAGGGATATTTTTACTGGAGAATGCGTGCACTTTAACCAAGAAGAATTTGTTTTTTTACATTACAAACAGCAACAGATAATAAAGATTTTAACCTAAAAACCCACATAACAAAGCAGAGCATAATTTTTAAATAAAAAGGGACAAGGTGGAGAAAAATGCGCTGTTTGAGTTTATTTACTGACGGTAAACAAAGTCCGACTCCCCGCAGCAGCTGAGATTAAATGTTTAAAGCAGCACAGCACCAACACAACTCTCATGAAGTTCAGGGTTATTTGACACTTTCCTGCCTGTTCTGTGAGTTTAATAGACAGATAATCTAAAAAAAGTTAAATCTGGTCCTCTGGACATTCAAAAAACACCAAAACAAAGCAAAACAACAAAAAAATGTAGAAACGTTTCGTCTCTCATCCAAGAGACTTCCTCAGTCTGAGGAGCTGTTTTCAGCTCAGTCTCTTAAATAGCACCTTCTCAGAGTGGATCAACCAGTTTTGCTGCTGACAACCAAAACCAGCTGATCACATGCTCAAGAAGGACCATCAGCCTAACAATGGGTCATTAGCACACTGATGGCTGTTTACTATTCACAGAGGGCTGAGTGATACTAGCAATCACAGCATTGTAAGAGGGGGACAGTTGAACCCGGAGGCCTTCACCCCTGTTTAATGATGGACGATTTCTTTTCACAAAGATGGCCTCCTTTACTCCTCTCTCAAACCATCGTTCATCTCTGTCCAGGATGTGAACATCTTCATCCTTGAAAGAGTGACCGCTGGCCTGGAGATGAGTGTAGACCGCAGAGTCCTGGCCTGATGATGTTGATCTTCTGTGCTGGGCCATCCTTTTGGCCAGTGGCTGTTTTGTTTCCCCGATGTAGGACTGATCACAGCCCTCCTGACACTGAACAACATACACAACATTGCTCTGTTTGTGCCGGGGTACTGGATCTTTGGGATGAACCAGTCTTTGTCGTAATGTATTTGGGGTTTGTCTGATTTTAATTTTAAACTGACCACCCCTACTGCATCATCAACAGGAATGCACGTAAAGAGTGATGTGACATCAAAAGAGACCATTGTTTCATCAGTCTCCATGATGACATCCCTCACCTTATCCACAAAGTCCATGGTGTTCTGTATGTGGTGTTCTGAGCTGCCAACTAAAGGGATGAGTACAGACGCCAGATATTTGGAAACATTGTAAGTGACAGAGTTAATCCTGCTAACGATTGGTCTTAAAGGTACACCTTGTTTGTGGATTTTAGGTAAACCATACAGACTAGGTGTGGCCTCCCCTGGGTACAGTCTGTGGTACAGAAAACGGTCAATAGCCTTGTCCTGCTCCAAAATTTTCAGGCAATCTATCAATTTCTTCTTGTTGCGGATGGCTGACTCAGTAGCTGTGATCATCTCCACCAGAGGAATTCTACTTGGTGCAACCGCAAAGTTCAGTCCCCTGGCAAGAATCTCTGTCTCCGGCTGGGTGAGCTGTCTGTCAGATAAATTCTTCACCCACTTTTCTGTCTCCCTCACATGTAATTGACTACTGGAGTGTTGTCCTACACTGAATGTGTTGTTATTGGAATAGTGATGGTGTTGATGAGCTATTAGTAAGTTAAACTTGTTTTGTTGTCGAGTCTTGGACTTGACATGCTGTGCTAAGCGTGCCTGATCTGTTCAGTCCAACACTTGCTGAAGTGTGGTCTGATCTAGATACATAGTTAGTTTCTGTTTAATGTGCTCTTCTTTGGCCTTCAAGGCCTCAATAGTAAAATTGGTCTGTCTCACCCGTTCATTCAGCAGCTGGGTCTGTGCCTTCTGAAGGATCTTGCTTGCCCGGTGCCCGCTGACCGAAGATTTTAGTTCCAGGCTCTTGGGAATGATGCCACTTTGTCGACATCTGAGGTTGAATCGCAAATGGTTCCTGTAGTCTGCCCTCTTCCTTGCTGTTTTCTCAAACTCTCTAACTAGTCTCTAACTCCACCAGAGTAGAATTCCTCTGGTGGAGATGATCACAGCTACCTAGTCAGCCATCCGCAACAACAAAATTAAAGAGGCTGAAGCAGAACAGCTCAGAATCAAAGTTTCAGCCTGCCTCAGCAATGCCAAACTACCACCTTCTAACATCAGTAAAGAGGAGAGGGACGCACTCACCACTTTTAGCAAGGACAAAAACATCATCATTCTCCCAGCAGACAAAGGAAGGTGCACAGTGATTTTGAACCAGAAAGACCATCATGAGAAAGTTATGACACTCCTTAGTGACTTAAACACTTATGAACCTCTGAAAAGAGATCCAGGAAGTGGTTACAAGAAGAAATTGATAGATTGCCTGAAAATTTTGGAGCAGGACAAGGCTATTGACTGTTTTCTGTACCACAGACTGTACCCAGGGGAGGCCACACCTAGTCTGTATGGTTTACCTAAAATCCACAAACAAGGTGTACCTTTAAGACCAATCGTTAGCAGGATTAACTCTGTCACTTACAGTGTTTCCAAATATCTGGCGTCTGTACTCATCCCTTTAGTTGGCAGCTCAGAACACCACATACAGAACACCATGGACTTTGTAGATAAGGTGAGGGATGTCATCATGGAGACTTATGAAACAATGGTCTCTTTTGATGTCACATCACTCTTTACGTGCATTCCTGTTGATGATGCAGTAGGGGTGGTCAGTTTAAAATTAAAATCAGACACCACTCTGAGCAGCAG